TTAAATACCTCTTTAAGCTGATTAGTATCTTGAAAAATATCTAGTAACATTATTTACTATCATCATTACAACTATAAAATAAATCAGTTTTAGAAAATATTCATTAAAACTCTTATATTTAGAAACGTGCTGAAGAAAAAAAACTCTTCATTAAACAAAAAATGGGAGAAAAATATACATGCGACTTCAACTGCATGTCAGTAGAATTTGAAACCGGAGCGATTCATCTTAATACATTCATAATTAATTATAGTGGGCGCTGAATGCCTGCGCTCACCTATAATTGTTTACACAGGGAGCAAATAGTCTACAGCGCTCTATCTGCCGCCTACATTCACACATTTATATCTGTGTGAGTATTAGAAGCATGTGCGTAGCCTTGTTTTGTTTTTCATTTTCTTTGTTGTTAAGCCTTTTTCCCTCCGCTCCTCGTCTCATTGGCTACTCTTGGGAGACGGTCGTGAACGAGAGAAAGGCAACCGCTTAAGGCAGCGCTTGGCAGACGGCGACTGACTCTGTGATTAAAATTTGCCTCTAAAGCCACAGTCGTCAGAGTCAGCATAATTTAAAAGCCCCTTTACTTTGATGCAGAACAATGAGACTAAATGGTAGTCCTCAGAAATCGCTGTTAAACCGAGGAGACGAAGATGAAGGGAAATAAAAGATAGGGATGTATAGTGTAGTCTTAATTACCTTGTAAATACGTTGAATGATGCCTTGTTCCTTTTATAATTCATCCTGGTTGAGTTACTTCAAATGAAACCGAGAAGAACTTTTCAAGAGAGCCCCCCCCCATCTCCCCCATCTCATTTATTCATTGTCTTATGCAAAAGTGCTGTGTGTTTTGCTTCTAAATCTTTGCTTTCGCTGAAGCATAACATGGTCATTAGAAACGAAACGAACGGTTGCCATGAGAGAGACTCTGCTGCATAAAAAAAGGCAAATCACAAATGAGATCTTTTCAAACTCAATAGTTTCTCCTAGACACCGATTGGACTGAGTTGAGAGCAAATGGTATTCCTAGACAGTGTAGCCAGATGTAGCTGACTGATTCAAGCCCAAAACTTAGGAGGGGGATGTCATGCCCTTGGGAGATCACAACCATTGTAAGTGTTTGGAAGTGAAGAACAAGGGGGGTATGGCATCTCTTTGGGAGATCGTAATAGGGTTATAAGTTAAGACAGAAGCTGGCAGGCATGTTGTTGCAAAACCGCCCAAATATTCATTACTATGTAATTTTTTTACCTGCACAATCAAATTCAAAACCGCCCAATTGGACTGGAAACCGCCCAATCTGGCAACACTGATCTCAAACTCCGGCTAGATTTCCAGAAATTAGACAGTTTCAAAGTGAAAGTATTGTTTCCATTTCATTTCATATTGCCAGTACTATATTTTTCATTCATTCATTTCCTTTGGCTTAGTCTTTTGTTTATAAGGGGTTGCCACAGCGTAATGAACCACCAACTATTTCGGCATATGTTTCATTTCAATTCACCTTTATTTCTATAGTGCTTTTACTATGTAGATTGTGTCAAAGCAGCTTCACATAAAAGATTATAGTGTTTGAAACAGTCCAGTTTTCAGAGTTTTAAGTTCAGTTCTGTTTAGCTCAGTTCAGTGTGGTTATATAATCACAGCAGAGAGTCCAAAGACTGAAAAGCAAATCTATCGATTTGCATCTCTAGTCCCGAACCACGCAAGCCAGTGGCGACAGCAGCGAGGAAAAAACTTTACCAATTGCCGAAAGTGAAGGATAAAAAACCTCGATAGAAACCAGGCTCAGTTGGCCATGACTATTTCTCCTATGGCCAAACGTCTTGTGCAGAGCTGCAGTCTAGGCGATGGAGAAGCTGGACGTCAGCGAAGACTTATCTGTCCCTGGAGCGTCACAGGAATCAGTCCCATGCTTTCCACTCCTCCATGACCACCACAGCAGCTGCTCAACGCATTAGTGATGCTGCATAGTCTCTGGGGGCCTCGGGATGAGTATCCCCAGGTGGAAATAGAGAATAAAGAGAATAATTAGTGTAGCTGATGTTCATAGTGTATTTAAATGAGATGAAGAAACTTGTGTGGAGCACATACATGTATCATACCACTATGTGATGCATTGTGTGTATGCTTTACTGAAAAGATTTTTAAGGTTTTTAATCTTGTTTTGAACGTTGAAAGTGTGTCTGAGCCTCGGACATTATCAGGAAGGCTATTCCAGAGTTTAGGAGCCATAAATGAGAAGGTTCGACCTCCTTTACTTGACTTTGCTATGTACTACCAGAAGCCCTGAGTTTTAAGGTCTTAAAGAGCTGGTTGGATTGTAGCGAGACAGAAGGTTGGTTAGATAAACAGGAGCTAGATTATTCAAAGCTTTATAAGTTAGAAGCAATATTTTAAAATCAATATAAAACTTAACAGGCAGCGAGTGTAAGGAGGCTAAAAATACAGCATGAGGGCCAAACATGGCCCAGGTTTGGCAGAGGTGGCACCATCTTTAAGGCGGCACGTAAGACTTGGGGCAGATATCAAATGCAGTAAAGATTTTAAAAATGTATATGTGGGCCACGTAAGTTTGGCGTACCTTGACCCACTTTTAAAATACATTTCAATTATTTTCGTGACACACCAACATTTCTGGCCCAATTATGGGTTCAGGTAAACTCTGCGGACATGGTACCGGGTCTGTGACGTCATCGACTTTCGCTTTAAGATTTAAAGGGCTAGCATTGCACCAGACCCCGTTAAGTGGTTTCGTTTGAAAGTGTAGAAACTATATTTTATGCACATATGCATCACTTTGGTTTTTATTTTACTGTACAAAAGTTATTTACACTTAAATACAAAGTATTTTGTATACCCGAGCTGGGTATTGAACATTTCCTATTTTTCATATGATTCATATACAGTATGACACATGTACAAGTTATAGCTCAAATGAAAGCTCTTGCCGGTGCTCATATGGTTCTAGCATTCTTTTTACTGAATTATATTCACATATCAAACAGTAGTTGAATGAATCGTGGTGTTTCCATGGTGCAGAAGTGAAAACAATCCATTTATGATCAGTAAGCAGCCCCAGATAGCACAGACAGCTGTCATCTCTTACCTTATGCTGTGCGCTTCAGGGCCATTCTCCTCTGTTTTTTGAGGTGATGTGCATAAGTAATCCTTTTATATGTCTGATGTGTTAAAAAAACAGTGAATTATGTTTGATCAAACAAACGAATAGTGAAATAGGAAAACAATGATCGCTTCCTGTGGCTTGTACAGCACCTCTTATCAGTTGTAATACAATAACTTTTGCATAGATTATGGTAGTGACATTTTTCTTTTTTCCTATGATTACAGACATGTGCAGGAAAAAACTAAATTAATTACAGCTAGCTAGACCACACAAATTTGAAAGTGTATCTTTTAGGTTCTGAGTTTATGAAAAAAAAATACAAAAAGTGCCTCTTTTTAGGTGTTTATTATAACACAGACAACATATAGAGATATTTTAAACACGTTCAATAGGGTTTTATGAAAATTCAAAGGGTCTTCTTTTAAATGATACCAATTTTTTGCATTTACACCTCTGCGTGTGGATTTGGGAAGCTTTTAAATTTGTGTAGGCAAAATCCAGGCGGAAATCCCAAAATCACAGCAGGGTTAAACTGGTTAACTTGGCTGAGACTTGGCCCAGATATGGTCCATGTTTCGCCCCAATATGGAAGTCACACTTGGTCCAGTCATGGACCGTATTTCACTGTGGCATGTAGGCCAAGCAAAAGCTGATTGTGTAGGCCAGAACTGGGCCAGAGAAATTTTGCTATGTGGGTGGTTATATTCTCACACTGTTGCCACACAACTGTGTTTAAACCCCTTATAAAAGTGATTTTTGCATAAAAAGGTCCCCTTTAAAGTTGGAAGCACATGGAAATCCACCAAAAATGATCATGCCAGAACCCGATGCAGCATAACAAATTTCACAACGCAGCAGATCCTGCAAAGCTAGAATTGTCTGCATTGACAGAATCTGCGTTTAACTGATCTGCTATTTGAAAGAAGACTTGATGGACTCTTCAATGACGCGTTCTTCAGGGATTTGCATTATTTATGCGGGTCTAAGTTCATGCATAGGTAACACACATATAGCGCTCGCCGCTTGAGGTTGTAAGGCTGTGAGCAGGCGAGTGATCTAACCCTCTTCACGTGTCTCTTTTTTTTCCCCTCCGGCTATCTGTTTGTCCTTAAAGGCAGAGTGGGAGTGGTTGCTAAGCAGTGTCTCTATGGACACACGGGCTTCAGATCTGCGGCGTCTCTTTCACTTCTCTCTCTTTACCACGGACACACTCCACAAATCTCAGTCGGTCTCTCGCTCTCTTATTCTTTCGGTCTCTTGTGCTTTTTTAAATTCATAAGCAGGCTCAGCACGCAATATGGAACTACCTTCTCCCACAGGGCTAAACATTGAGTTCCTTAAGAAGCCTGAGCCCTTGATGCAAACGGTTATCAATAACCTTGAAATGCTTTTGCTCCGTTGCCCAATTTTGTTGTTATGTATTTGAGCAGGCATGATAAGGGAGAGAGAGAGAGAATGAGAGCATTAAAAAAAACTCAATGAAAACAAAATCACGACATTTCTGGATGAAAGCCTTTCGCACGCCTTTCGCTCCAAATGTGTTCCCTTTCATTTTACAGTTACGTCTTGCGTTTTTCTGAGTGCTCCCCCTTTGAGGTCTCGTGCATGGTTTTAGATTTCTAAAACGGTTGTCACAGCTATTTGCGAACGCAACACCTGGGCACGGAAGTTTCCTCAAAAGGAGTCCCTTGAGCATTGGTGACATTGAATTCAAACAGCTCTGTAATTTACAAAGAAATGATTGGATCTTTGTGCTTAAAAGAACGACTCCCGGTGTGTTAGACCCTGGAGAATAGCACAGCTTTGTTTCAGTAATGCTGCTCGCAGTCCATATTAAGTCATTTTTTAATGTGTGTGTGTGTGTGTGTGTTGTTTTTAGATGAACATGGACATTTGAAAATCTACTTGCCCAAGAAGCTTCTGGAATGCCTTCCCAAATGCTCCTCCCTGCCCAAGGAGAGACATCGCTGGAACACCAACGAGGTAAGAAGCTTTGATTAGACTTTTTTTTTCATTCACAGGAGTTTGGCGATATGTAATGCAATGTTCACGATTATGTGTTGTTTATTGGATGCTTGTTCTGTGTGTTATGTATTATTGGTACTGCTTGCTTTACAGCAAGATTTTTTATTTATTTATTGTGCTTAAGCTAATAACTTGGTATGTGTTTCTAAATTTCTAAATCTAAACTCAGCTGGACCAAACATTTGGAAAATGTAGCTTGATAAAGTCTCTCTTTTTTGCAATGGGTATTAGATGAACATTAGTTATTATATATGAAGATGTAATTTGATCAATTCTCATAATTTTTTTTTTTGTAAAGATTTTTCAATGAAAGAATATTCTGTTTATGGCTGGAAATTTCACAAAATATATTATATTGTATGTTTTATTCTCATATTGAATTCGATCTCATTTACAAATGAAATACAACATTGAGAAGAAAAATATATATAGCAAAGGTTTTTCTACTGAATATTAGATTATTGTTTAGATTATTAGATATGACAGATTTTTCTTTCGATTATAGGAAATTACATTTTTTAATACGTTTTTTGCAGTAGTTTACCCGGTAAAT